ACAGTGGAGAGCATATTTAATTACTTATTACATTTTTTTATAGATGTTCCTTCAAGATAAATCACAACCATGGATGAAAAATGTGAAAGGGGGAAAACACTTCCAGTAGGGAGCTGGTTGCCAATCTTTCCTTGATAACCAAAAACTATTTGAACCTGCTCCCAACTGTTAACAGATTGTGGTGCCAGTCATGGATTTGCATTCATTTTTTACAGTGTAGATTAGATTTTTTTTTTCATTCCTTTTCTTTCTCTGTTACTTTCTCTATGTTTGTCTTGTTTAACTTTGGATGCCATTTTTTCAGTGCATACATTTCCTCTATTACAATGTTGCTAACACCTGTTTTGCACTTCTTTGGCTTTTTGGGTTTTTTTTTTTTATCTTCAAAAGTTTGTGCACATATAGTATGCTAAGTACAGTGTTATAGTACACAATATATAATTTGTTATCACCATTAAAATTTATTGTTAAAGAGAAGCTAAAATTGTAGACAAAGAGAAAAATGTAAACATATTAATTAAAGCAAACACACACAAATGTAGACAAACGAAATGCAAATGTTCACACATACTACAGTTGATGGTGAAAGAAAGGCAGGAAATTAGGGAGAAGCAGCTGTCGGGCCATTAGCATAGCATCGTGTGAACACCTGAGTCCTGAGCTGGATGACAGCCAGAAAGACAAGCCTAATAAAGAATTCTCCAAAATGAGATAATCATTACACACATCTGGACATTTTTTAATTCATTTCAGGCAACCAGATTACACTAACAGTACATGCTGTTGTTGTTGAACATGGAGCTTGCTTTTTTTGCTGTTGTTCTTTTTAATAAGGCAAATGTGTGTGTGTGTGTGTGTGTGTGTGTGTGTGTGTGTGTGTGTGTGTGTGTGTGTGTGTGTGTGTGATAGATTATTTTGGAGACATAGTACAATACATATGTTTCCACAGGTACACTATGGGATGTCAGTTTCCCTGTGGGGCACACAAACATTTCCCCAAAGAGAGACTAAGTTACACAGTCTGAGTAAGAGAAGTTGGAAAAACTTAAGAACACATGTAGCTCTAGCTTATCGGCAGGTTAGAATAGCTTTCAGTTAAGATTACAGTTACAGCATGGTGACATCTAGGTTAGAAGAGAATGATTGATGCCAAGGCAGCTTTAATATGACATGAGTTATTGTTAATCTCTGGCTCTTTTCCACAGTGTGTCTTTTGTCCCATCTTCCTCCCCTCACCCCCACCATGCCGGTAGATGTCTGCCCCTCCCTGGTTCTGTCAGAGGTTTCTTCTTGTTAAAGGGGAGTTTTTCCTTCCCACTGTCACCAAGTGCTTGCTCAGAATTGGTTGTCTGATTGTTGGAGTTTCTTCTGTAGTATATAAATAAAGAGGGCATGTCCACACTAATATGTTTTTGTTTGAAATCGCATCTTTTTCTCTACGTCTTGGCCTTCCGTCCACACAGACGGCGTTTTCGGTCAAGGAAAATGCAGCTCATTGACAACGCTCTCCATAGTGGATACATTTGAAAACGCCGTTTTCGTGTCGCAGTGTGGACAGCAACCCCGGAGCCTTTTCGAAAACGATGACGCATTTTAGTCATGTGATGCAGTCATGAGACCAATTAAACTAAGATAGCGGAGGGCATTACACAGCAGTTGATTTGTTTGCTCTCAATTTTGACAGCCCTATTAAAGATTAATATCAGTCTGTACATGCTCCAGATAGCTTTTCTTCAAGTTCTTTAATTCTCACTCGCTTTTGCAACTTTGTACTTTTGTGTTACTCGCAGCAACAACTCCACTTCGTTCTTAGTCCATTTAAAACACTGTGCTTTTCCTCAAAGTTTTGCAGCGACGTTTCAAAGAGCCAGAAAGTAAATAAACAGCAGACAGAAATGAGGCAGGTCGAATCGTCTTGCGCTTCACGCATGCGCAGTACTGGAATGTAAACGTTTTCAGCTGTTTCAATGTGGACGCACAACTCTGTGACATTGACTAAAACGATAATGTGGAAGCGGAGTGTTTTCAGACGAAAACGCTGTTTTCAAATTTATCCGGGCTAGTGTGGACTTGGCTGCATTCGATTTGATTCTCCAACTCTGGTGTGATGGTAGAAGCACTGTGTTACATAAATTCTAGAAACATTTCATTATAGCATAAAGCTGATTAAAATTTGTGTTTATTTGTGGTAACCCTTCAATGTTTGGGCCATGAGCTTCTAGTTGGATGTGCTCAGAAAACAGCCAATGATCTTGTTCCTTACTTCATGACGTAAATATTGCCATCATATAATACAGAGTGACTGTTACATGGGACAAAATTCCCAGGGGTACAGTCATTTATCTGTCTGTCCTAAGCTCATTGTTACTGTGCTCACATGACTCTTAAGCTCCTTCACACTTATAATTTTATAATGATAAAAAACATGTTTTCTGGAACAATAACAGAAGACTTTAAGGCTGGAGAAAAACTAAAGCTACGAAGGAAACAAGTACAGAGCACGGATTCAGTTTATTTTTTGTACATCAGTGGTCTGACATGGGTACCCCTCCTTGCTTTTACCTGACAGTATGGCTTCCACCAAGTCACCCTCCTGGATCTGAGAAGCAGAGCGCAGTAGCTGCAGCACATTGTCTGATGTAGGATCATGACGGAATAGGAGGATCTTCTCGTACATCCCATAGAAGCCGCACTCTGGTAACTAACAGAGACAGAAAGGCATATTATCTCAGCAAAATCTGTATTTCAAAAAAAGTTATGTTAGTTGTAACTACGTCTTTTTCATAATTGCTAATATGGGGATTTGTTGATCGTATAACCATTCTTTATCATAGTTTTGAGTAACTTTGTACTCATTGCATATCTGCATTTGGTCTAGTATGTCCACTTTTTCTCTTTATAACAGTTTTCTGTTATTTTCTCCTTATGGTCATTTCATGTGGGTATTTTGTGTCTCTGTACGAGCTTTTTATCTGTGCACAATTGGTTTCTGCACAAAGCTGTGAATCAGGACAATGACATCAGTTGACTGCTCTGAAAATAAAAACATTTTACACACAGACTTTTAAAATAGCATGAGCCTGTCTTTCTACTGCAATCACGTCAAAGTAAATTCAAATTTGAGAGAGCTGATGAAAAGAGACAAAAAAATGAAGAGTAGTGACGCAGAGAAAGAGAAGAGCTTTGATCTTTATCAACAGATTAATAATAGACTGAGATTATCATCAGAAGGAGATGGACAGACCGATCTCACCAAATAAATTAACACAAATACAATGATGTTGTAAATTTGCAGAGACAGAACTCTATCAAAGATATTCATGTTCCTAATTGTGTTATGATGATATAATAACAAACAGCAGCCTGATAGTCCTCCTACTATCTGACAGTAAATTTGATTCAAATCTACTACTTTTAATTCAAACTGCTACATTTTTGACAGGCTTCCATTTCAGGAATACAAAATCTGTATTAAAGCTGCATATATTATGCTGCATATAAGTGCTATTCCCACTAACTGTACTGCTATCAACATCATCTATTACTGGAAAACAATGTTACTTTTATTTTGAAAGTTTAGTTTCTGCTAACTATCGTCTCTTTTACATATCATGTGACGTTGTGGTAGTGATGGATGGCATTCGGCTGTTTCCATTGTCAGATCAAACTCCAACTGCCTTAAAGTGCTATTCCCACTAACTGTACTGCTACCAGTTCTGCTGGAAACCATGCAGGCCATGAAATTGAAAAAATTAATAATAATAATAATTAATAATAAAATAAATAAAAAGGACCAAAGCAACGAGAGACTAGGGGCACAAATGTATGAGTAAGAGATGCAAAGTAACCACAGAGAAACACACAACAAAGTGGAATAGATATGAAACCCAACTCTAGAATCTGTAGCTGTTCTTTCTATTTCAGTCTTTGGTTCCTCTCTGGTGGGTGGGGGGCAATTCACAGGTCTGTGCCCAGGGACTATCTGTCTCATAATCACTGGATACAGAAGACGATAACACTGCAGGAGAAGTTTCAGATGTTTCACTTAAATCGCTAAAAGTGTTGGAGTTGCCAAAGTGCTAAAAGGTGTTAAAATCAGTAAGACTTCAAGCCTCGACTCTACATGGAGTTGTCACTTTAAAAACACAAACAGAAGATTAATTGCTCAAACTAGTCCCCACAAAGACAGGTGTATGTGAGCAAACGCACAAACGCAGCCGAGTGTAACCACAGGAAGTTAAAGGTGCAGTTCGCTGTTATGTTAAAGATCGATGAGGCACTGCTGAAAGGAGCAACACATTGACCAAGTGTAGAACACCACTGAGATTGTTATCGACCACAAAAACACACAAACACTCTTCCACGGTAGAAGAAGACACACACACCATAGCATACAATAGCATACATGAAAACAAAGATTTATATCAAACTTCTATTTTTTTTTTTTACATACGTCACTTCCATTGCTACATATATGTGGTCAGACCAAATCACATTTTTTTAAGATACCACAGCACTGAAATGTGATTGAAAGCATCCATTTTTTCCAGTTATGTGGTTAGGAAGTCATTGTTTTCTTTCTTTCTCCTCATAAATTATAAAATTATGAATTCAGCATATGTATAAGAATTACCCACGAGTGCCATACACCTTGTAGTATTCATTTTCTTCTACTCTTGGATCTGTCTGGTAGTCAGAAAACTGAATATTTGATGTACGACGTGGAAGTTTTATTGGAGTAACCTACAGTTAGTGTGTCACTGCAGCTACAGCTATTTTTCTGCCTTTTCTTTATGGCTCCTTCATGATCAGAAACTTGTCTGTGTGAGCAAATATCAGAGAAGGACAGACACTGTATATTTGTGTGTATTTTGTGCACTAGATTTTGAGTAGCAGTGACAGTAAGGATTTGGCAATGGTATGAACTCCTTATCCATATTTAAGTTTTGGGAGTGAAAATAAAGTCACACAGCGGCACTACTACCTTGGTAAGTAATGTTAGTTTTTATTTTTTCTAAATAAGCTCTAAAAATACTGGAAAGTTGTGTCTCCCTGATTTTACTCTGAAATTTCCACCTATGGTGGAGGCTATGGGAGTACAGAGAAGTTACTGTCATTCCCAGAAAAACACTCTGATATGGACATGGTCATGCGCTCAGGCGCTGCTGTTAACATGAGCCTCAGTCTATAGAGTGACTCAGAGTGTGTCAAAACAATATCGGCGCACCATTACAGCAGCAGCAGCGGTCAGAATGAATAAAGGTGGGGAGGATTCCCTGCATTCATATCATTTACACCAAATTATCCAGTTTTGATGAGCCACTGCCCTCAGTATCTTCTTCTTGGCCGAGTGTGTTATTCTTCTACAGCAGTCCATCTTTAGTGTCCCTTGTACCTGAATTACTGTTAACATTCTAGTCATTATTGTTTGACTTCTGCCATCAACAAGATATTTTGCCCACATTAGCATCACTCCTTGAAGCTGAAATGCAAGAATTAGCAGTTTCTGTCACCCTAAATGATGAATTTCAAGGACAGCAGTAGGAGAGAGAAGGGTGAGGAGAGGAAACAGAGAGGAAAGAAGTTGAAAATGAGGTACATAAGAGCAAGAACATAATAGAACAAAAAAGTGGAGACGCTTTATCATACTGCCCTGAACCTTCCTTTCGATCAGCACGCTTGCATCATTATGTGTGTGTGGTGTCACCATAGCAGCGGTGTCGCCGTTGTTGTCATGGCAACAGGAATTCAGGGCCGATTCCTTTCCATCTCCTCCAGCTCTCTTTATCCAATTCAGCTCAGTTCAAGACTTCCTGTGCTGAATATGTTGAACTACAGCATCGTGGATGCTGGAGCCTGACTGACCGTTCTCTTAACATCTTGTTGTCCAACAAATATCTCTAAAGCAAAATAAAATTTCTTAAATTAAGAACATGTGATAAAGGTCCTGATGTCACTTCCTCTATAATTTTCGCCATGAGCTTATTTTATTTCCCCAAATTTTTAAGGCATGTATTCTCATTTTTCTAATCTCTTTACTCCAGACCATTCCCTGAATCATTGTTCCAATTTTTAGTACTACTGATGTATTGGAGTTAAAGTACTCCTCACTATCAGATTCTGAAGTAGAAGTTAGTGTTTGTATATACTGAAAAATGCTAATTTGACAGTGAATGAAACTTAGCAGAAAAAATATATATTTATGAATGAAAAACTGACTTAATATTTTGGTTTTACATGATATGGGCTCACCACCTGCAGGAGGAATCATAAGGGTTGGGTGCAGTGTTTGGTTGCAGCCATTGAGGGTCAAACTTTGGCAATACGATCCCCAGCAGAGAAGGAAGGAGTCTTAGGTAGTGTGTGAGGTTAAGAGTTGGATTTACCTCAACACACAGCATGGGTTTTAGAACCAGTCTCCTAGAGGAGGGGCCGGACTTTGTTCGTGGCTCAAGAGTTGGCGATCGTGGCTCAAGAGTTGGGAGTTCGCCTTGTAATCGGAAGGTTGCCGGTTCGAGCCCCGGCTCGGACAGTCTCGGTCGTTGTGTCCTTGGGCAAGACACTTCACCCGTTGCCTACTGGTGGTGGTCAGAGGGCCCGGTGGCGCCAGTGTTCGGCAGCCTCGCCTCTGTCAGTGCGCCCCAGGGTGGCTGTGGCTACAATGTAGCTTGCCGTGATTGTGTGTGTGAATGGGTGGATGACTGGATATGTAAAGCGCTTTGGGGTCCTTAGGGACTAGGAAAGCGCTATATAAATACAGGCCATTTACCATAGTCTGAATTTTCCATCAGTGAAAATTCTTGACATTCTTGCTGGCGCCCGTGTAGTAATTGTCAAACCAGTAGGCAGACAACAGAAGTGAAGGTAGCCGTCAAGCTAAATGAGTCTTTGGTGTGGTACTCAACAAAAAGATATTCAACCAAGCAGTGTGCAGCTCTTACAGTAGCCGAATCACAAGCTCAAAAATAGTAGGGGTTCAGTGAGGCCATAGAACAAGACTTTCGGTCAATCTTGAAGCTTCCATCCATCCATTCTCTTTTACTTATCAAATTCAGAGTTGGTGGGGGCTGGAGCCTATCGCAGATGCCATAGGGTGAAAGGCAGGGTACACCCTGGACAGGTCGCTAGTCTGTCACAGGGCTATCTCCTCAGTTCTTCTGTAGCAGAGGCGGAGTCTGGAGATGAGGTGGGTGATTTGCCCATCACTGGAGGTGAGGTCACTGAAATCGTTAACTCCTTGGCAGAGATGGGCAGTAACGCGTTACTTGTAATGCGTTACTGTAATCTGATTACCTTTTTCAGGTAACGAGTAAAGTAAGGGATTACTATTGCAAAAACAGTAATTAGATTACTGTTACTTTCCCGTAGAAACGCTGCGTTACTGCGTTACTAAAAACCCCCCCCCCCTAAACTTCCAAGCAAGCACTGAGTGCGCTACGACGTAATGGGAAACTCACAGAGAAACTCGCGGATTCTTCCACTGACCGCTGCGGCACACCTGCACCAGGGTAAACCTCTGCCTATGCCACTCCTGCTTTACAGGTGAAAATAGAGCAATAGGACCGCTAGTCTTTGATGTTATTTATTTTCTGCTGTGTTTTACTTGCATCTATTTGAAAGAGTGAGTGTAAACACACATAAAAAAAATATATTTTATGTGCAGGAATGTGCAGAAAATAAGTTTAAATGTTAAAAAATTTT